TTTCTAAATATAGTTGTGTCCGGCGAGTTCCCTACTGTAGCGAATCAAGTGGCATGTCTACAACATTCGCACAGATTGTCTACATAGTCTAGATGCACTCTGATTGGTTCATTTACAGCAGCACTAGATAGAACTGGCTATGGTAGTATACCTGTCTCTTATACACATCTAGATGTGTATAAGAGACAGTGGCTACGCAGTATGCCACATTTACTATTTAACATTTTTTTTGTTTTTTGTTTTTGCTGGGCCCAGACCTACCCTGTTTGAGCCTGCCACTTTGGGCAAGCCTGTGCGAGGCACGACTTTTGGTCTGTTTTAGAGTTCTAACCATGGATGGCATAAGGCATCGTCTTGCTGATGTGGGTGTGGGCCAAACAGCCAAAACGCCTATTTGCGGGCTACTGGAGTGCACACAGAGGTGGAAGTTTCATTAGCAAGCTACGGGTGTTCAGAAACATATATAGGCCCCGCTTATATATCGTCAAACATAGCTGCCTGGAAAACCGTAGGCAGAGAGGGAGAAGAGGACAACAAACGAGGGGCTGTGACAAACTGTTTCGTCGGAGTTTATACGCTTGACCCTGGTAGCGGTAGGAGCCCACAATCGATTGTGGGTTAATGTTATGTGCTTTTGAATACGGGGAGGGGTAGCAGCCCACAATCAAACTTCCCCCCCCCACTGTCTAAACTGTACTACCCCCTCAATTGCGGGCTGCCACCCTTCCCAGTTTTCGCTAACATATAACATCAGTCTGTCCAACCCCTGTCCAGGACCTTGAAGCAAAATGCTACCGCGTTGCCCCCGAATAGAACATACAGTCTCTATAGCTGTATTTGGGGCAACCCTTTGGTGTAGATGCAGCGAAAATGACCGTACGATGTACATGGTATTCAGGGGAAGTTGGTAGCTCAGCTGCTTTTTCATATTGGGAGGGGGTAGAAGCCCAGGTACTCTGATAGCATCCCCTCTTATGAATCAGACTTTAGAATGGCCGTTACACTCTTCGTTCGCCAGCTTTTAAACTCTTCAACTAGCCTCTTTTCCAGGGGGGTGGAG